CTGCTGCTGTTGGTTCGCCTTCTTCTTCTTCTTCGTCTTCTTATTCTTATTCTTCTTCTGCTGCTGCTTCTATCTTTTTTCCTGCTGCTTCTTCTTTCCTTTCATACTTCCTTTTTCTCTTGACGTGACCCTTTGAAAATAAAGTTCGTTCGTTCTTTATCCTCCCTTGTTGTTGTTGTACTTCTTCTTCTTCTTCATTTTCTTCTTCCTCTTGTTCTTCTTCCTCCTCTTTCGTCTTCTTCTTCTACTGCTGCTGCTGCTACTACTACTTCTTATTCTACTTCTTCTTCTTCTTCTGCTGCTGCTACTTCTTCTTCTCTTTATTTATTTATTTATTTGCAGACTGTCTCTCAGGCAAATGTACTCCAACTTGCAATAAAAAAACAATCCCTAATTAGTCGAATTTTACGATATGCTTGTAGGGGTCAGAGTGTTTGTTCGTCCGCCCCCCCCCCCTCCCACACACACAACAATCCCACACGCACGCAGACATACACACACACAATGGCACCCCTAGAAGCCAGACTGGAAGTATAATGTTGAACGAGTACTGTCCCTTTTAAAGAAGATCGCTGTTAGTTACTCTGTCTAGTAAAAGTAAAGTAAATTGGGAGATGTGAACCAGCGTCATTGCACACGGATATAAACCATAAGTGCTCTGCCACCAGTACGGACAGCTGATAAGAATTGTCCGCCTGTGTCGCCATTTGCACGTAACTCTGTAGCTACAGCGACGTTCCTCCGTTTACCCCAGAGTGTCAACTCTGGTACCCATTTCCTAAAGGCTGGGTGAACCCCGGGAACCGCCCGGTTTCGAACACCGACCGTGGGCTGCCGCGAGTCGCAGCTGGATTTGAAAGCGAACCTCTTATCGACTGAGCTAACACGGCCCCAATGTTACTCTGTCTGTACAAAGTAACTGGCAATATTCTTCATAGAAACCACACCTTCGGTGCTTCTGAAACATTTATCAACATTTATATTTGTTGAGCCGCTATACTTCACATAGACCTCCCAGTCTATTCCCGCACTCCGCATATAATGTATTACATATTCCGGATATTCAGGTGTGTTTAGTGATTTGGTTTGATTTGATTCAAGAACCGACATCACAGCACTCGGGGTATTCCTATAAGCGCCCTGTTCCCGTCTTCAGCAGCCAGCGAAGAGTTCTGATACTAATGGTGCCAGTAGCATTCTGATTAAAAGTCCGTCTTGCCTTTCCTCTGAGCCTCGAGCATCTACCAGAACCTCTCGTCACTCCCCGCTGCATCAATCTCACCAGACTGTGGTGATCCATCTGCTCCTCCTAACTGAACACGCTAACTAACCACGTCTGCCTTATCATGTATCAGTATTCAACCAAGCTGTGCAGAGCCAGCCAGTCTGTCCGCCTGTTTATTTCCCAACACACCGGCGTGCCCTGGTGAAAAAATCCAGACAATTGTGTTTAGTAAGGAGCAGCTTAACTCTTTGAGTCCCAGGGGGTTTAGCTTCGGAGGCCCAAGGGGTAGTCAAAAGAGATGTAAAATGGGCGCATCTTGCGTTTATTGGGCCTCTAGGTAGGAATCTATAAACGTATGAAGCGTTCCTTGGGACTAAAAGAGTTAAGATTTGTTTTTTAGAACTGGTTCTCTGCCAACTTTTGTCTATGACCTCATTCCTAATTTTATCTCTTCTGGTCACTTCTACAGCCTTTCTTCGACATGTCATTTCCATGGTTACTAATTTTTTTTTGATGTTTTGTTGTGAGTGACCATGTCTGGCACTGATAGCATAGGGTGGGAATGAATATGCTTTGTATAAGATCTTTCTTTGGGATTGCTTTATGCTGTAAGAGGGAGGCTGGCTGTCCCAATACGTGGCCTGCTTTACTGCATCGGATTTTAATTTCTTCCTCCAATTTACTATCATTAGTGAATCAGCACAAAGAGACATCTCATACAAAGCTTATTCACTCCCACCTTATGCTACCAGTGCCAGATATGGTCACTCACAACAAAACACAAAAGGAAATTAGTAACCATGGAATCGAGGTGTCTGAGAAAGGCTGTAGGAGTGACCAGAAGAGATCAAATCAGGAATGAGGTCATACGAGATAAAGTCGGCACAGAACCAATTCTAAATTACATGCAAAGACAGTAAATCAAATTATTTGCCCACTTGGAGAGAATACCTTCTGATGCTATACTATACAAGGCAAATATGAAAAGAGGAGAGGGACGTAGAGCAATAGGTAGACCAAGAACAAGATGGAAGATAGCGTCAGAGAAACTCTACACGATGTGTCATTGGTTGAAACAGCCAGAAGCGCACGAAGCAGGACCTTATATCTCCCACGACACCAGAAGTGGTATAAGAGGACGTAAATAAGAAAAAGAAAAAGAAGAAGAAGAAGAAGAAGAAGAAGAAGAAGAAGAAGAAGAAGAAGAAGAAGAAGAAGAAGAAGAAGAAGAAGAAGAAGAAGAATAAGAAGAAGAAGAAGAAGAAGAAGAAGAAGAAGAAGTGAATGTTGTTCTAAGATATTTATACTTAGATACCTGTTAAATATACTGTGATGTCTACATATTCTTTTCAGATAGCTAAATCAGCTGAAGCTACTGGACTTTAACCACAAGCACCATGAAATGGCGAGCCCTGCGGTTCCCATGTCGCTACCGACTCAAACTCTGCGTCCTGTGTCTGCTAGTGGTTGCATTCTTCCTGATGTCCACGTTTACAACAGTCATCACCTTCTCTGGCCTACTCCCAGGTAGACTCTCGGCCCAACAAGACAACTGGATGCGGCACCGGATGATCACTCCGCCTAGAAGGGACTACTTCCTGGAAAATCCGTTAATGGCGGATTTTTCCCGGGGCCAGAGTAGAATTATTGATAACTTGCTCCATCAGAAGGTGTCTGTTTAATTGTTATATTGTTGAACGAATATTGAGTTACGAATATGGTGACCGTAATATCTTGAGCCGAAAGCGGGACATTCTACTAATATTTTGAGCTGAAAACGGGACATTTTATTAATATTTAGATCCGAAAATGGGACATTCCAATAATATTTTGAGCTTAAAAAGGGACATTCCACGAATATTTTGAACTGAAAACGGGAAATTCCACTAAATATTTAGAGCTGAAAACGGGACATTCCACTAATATTTTCAGCTGAAAAAGGACACTCAAGCAAGTTAATTTAACATACCCCGAATCCCTCTCCTCCCTCTTTTCCAGCATAAATTCTAGAATCTATTATAATAATTATTATTATTATTATTATTATATTTATTATTAATATTATTATTATTATTATTATTATTATTATTATTTGAGCTGAAATGCAAAAGAAAGACTTTCATAAGAAGAGAAGAACTACTGACATCTTAAGAGATCTGAACATCAAGTAGCATCTTCGCTAGGAAACTGACATATTTTGACAATATCAAGCACCACGGCGGATTGGATTGAATAATAACACAAAACATGACACCTGGAAAGAGCAGCAGGGTCCGACTAGCATGGAAATGGGCACATGATATAAGTGACGTCTTGAGTTTAAAGGTTTGAACAACGGATCAACATCATGGCACACGGGTAGTAACCAAAATTGCTCAGCGCAGTGCACGGGCTCTGTAGTACCGGCGAGGATCGTGAAATACTTTCGGTAGATGTTTAACTCCAAATATTTGCCCGGGTAGCGCCGTTAGGCTACTCTTTTTGATTTCCAACTGCCAAGAGATTTTTTTAAGAGCGCAACATTACACACAGGAGTCCGATCTCACAACCCAGAGACCAGGGGGAATTACTAGAAGTCCAAGTCCACGTGAAAAAATCACAGCCCTTACCGGGGATTTAACCCAGAACCTCCAGCACTCGAGGCGGACACCATGTCTCGAGACCACGCAGCCCCTATCTTGAGTATGAATGTGCATGAGGTGGGAGAGCTGGCCAGAGACCCAGGTTCTCTCGGAAGGGCTGTGATGAGAGCGACGTTCTGCAAAGGACCTACTACTTGATGATGATGATATTGCCTTTCAAAAAAGCGTTTTCTCATGTAAATATAATTATTAATATTAAACAATATACTGCACACACTCACACACACGACAGTTTCAAACTAACCATTCGTTCCTTTTGGTTCATCGCAATACTGAAATATACAACCTGGTGACTGTTATGATGTATGACAGTGAAAGTTAGGATGTGAACTCACAAATTAGCATCATATTAAGGCAGACGACAGAGAGGCATGATCACCCCCAGTCAATCGGCAAGGCACTTGAAGGTGATGATAACCAACACGTTGCATAACGCAAAAATGGGGCCACATCTGTTACTTAACTACATGTTTAACTGCACACTGTTTATTGTTTTCTGAGATTGTTTCTTCTTCTTCTTCTTCTTCTTCTTCTTCTTCTTCTTCTTCTTCTTCTTCTTCTTCTTCTTCTTCTTCTTCTTCTTTTTCTTCTTCTTCTTCTTCTTCTTCGTCTTTTTCTTCTTCTTCTTCTTCTTCTTCTTCTTCTTCTTCTTTCTTCTTCTTCTTCTTCTTCTTCTTCTTCTTCTCCTCATCCTCCTCCTCCTCTTCTTCTTCTTCTTCTTCTTCTTCTTCTTCTTCTTCTTCGTTTTCGTCTTCTTCTCCTCCTCCTCCTCTTCTTCTTCTTCTTTTTCTTCTTCTTCTTCTTCTTCTTCTTCTTCTTCTTCTTCTTCTGCTGTGTGCACCTTTTGTGAATTCCGCGGAAAGTTATGGCTGTTCGTCCCTATCTGATCTTTGGTCTTGTTCCTGGACTAAAATTTAGCGTGCACATCTGTTTTACAGGTCTGAACTATTTGTGTGGAGATTGTCAGTTTCTCCTTTGAGGCAGATTTTGGTAGAAACAGTGTCTACCTTTCGTCTATGTTGTTTATCTTATCTGCTTACCGTCTTTGTTTTCCATTCTTCTTCTATGAATAATCATTTTCCATTTCCCAGGAGAACGGGTTCTTTTTGGACATTGGAGCGGGTGATGGAGAGACGAATTCGGTTACTTTGTACTTTGAGCGGGAGAGAAAGTGGCTCGGCGTGTTGGTGGAAGCCAATGAAGCCAAACATCGGATGAGCCTCGCCAAGAACAGGCAGTGCCACATGTGGAACTTCAGAATTGTGTTTGATGACGAGGTAGGGAGCAAAGATATCGGTAATGGAATTCTGGCTCCTTCTCCTTCTTTTTCATTCCCGTCTTCTTAATCTTTTTCTTCTTTATCCTCATTCTGTTCTTCCTCATGGTACCCTTCTCTGTTACCTTCTTCCTTCTTCTCTTCCCCTTCTCTTTTCTTTTTGCTGTTCATTCTCTTTTAACCAATCTTCGTTTCTTTTTTTTCCGTCATCCTTATCTTCCTCCTACTCCTATTCTTCTTTTTCTTCTTCTTCTTCCTCCTCCTCCTCTTCTTCTTGTGCCTGTATCCCCATTCTCATCTTCCTCACCGTACACTTCTTTTATACCCTTTTCCTTCTTCGCTTCGCCTTTTCTTTTCTTCTCTCTGTTCATCCTCTTTTAATCACTCTTCGGTTTTTTTTAGCTCATCCTTACGTTCTTTTTCTTCTTTGTCTGCTTATTATTTTCATTGTTCTTGTTATTATTAATTCCCCCTCCTGCTTTACCCTCATTCTCCACCCCCCCCCCCTTCTCTTTTTGTTGTCTCTTCTTCTCCCACTTTCTCTTGTTTTCTTCCTCATCAAATTAATTATTTTTTTAACCCTTGCTCTTGTTTCTGTCGGCGTCTGTGGCTTAGGCGTTGCGAACGCGTTTCGTAATGCCGAGGTGCCGGGTTCAATCCCAGCTGCGAACGATTTGTCTTGCGTTTGTTTCGACAGTAGTACCGAGTGCTGACAGTTTAGGTAGCAATGGCAAACAACTGAAGGTAAAATTTGCTTAGAAAAACCATAACAGCCAAAATATGCTGGGTTGATTTTGCAACGTCCTGTAAAGGATACGTAACTAACTTGTTTGGTTCTGCAACGTCCTGTAAAGGGTACGCAGCTAACTTGTTTGGTTCTGCAACGTCCTGTAAAGGGTACGCAGCTAACTTGTTTGGTTCTGCAACGTCCTGTAAAGGATACGTAACTAACTTTTTTGGTTCTGCAACGTCCTGTAAAGGGTACGTAACTAACTTGTTTGGTTCTGCAACGTCCTGTAAAGGGTACGTAACTAACTTGTTTGGTTCTGCAACGTCCTGTAAAGGGTACGTAACTAACTTGTTTGGTTCTGCAACGTCCTGTAAAGGGTACGTAACTAGCTTGTTTGGTTCTGCAACGTCCTGTAAAGGGTACGCAGCTAACTTGTTTGGTTCTGCAACGTCCTGTAAAGGATACGCAACTGACTACTCCTCGTATACTTCTCCTCCTTCTTCTTTTCCTCACCTTGCTTCTTCTTCTTCTGCAGATCGTCATCGGAGCTACTCAGTTCGGGCTTTTTCCGACGCTCCTGTCTGTTCTAAATGGCCAATGCGCCAAACACGCGAAAATAGTCTTTCACTTACTATTTTGCATTGATGTACAAAATTTAAATATCCTTTTTCTCGCATTTATACGTTCTGGGCATATAGGGCTAGTCCTTTATTTTATAGACCAATCAGCGCTGGATGGGTGATGCGGACAGCATCACGCCGCAGCCTTGCATGAGTAGCAGAAACTGTCCTGGGAAGTAAAGGCGACTTCCGTTGACGACATCGCCCCTGGAGTCCCGAGTGTTCTAAAAAACTATACACCTAGCTCCTCGCGAAAAGGGGGTCGTGGCGGTTACGGTGGCGAAGTGGCCAAGCCGTTTGCTTCACATTCTGTAAATCGTGGGCTCGTTCCATGACTGCACCATTCAGTTGACAAGTTCAATTTTTGTACTGAGATTCATGGGGATCGTCGCCGGAGCTACGTAGATCGTGCTTTGTGTAACGCTTCGGTAGGCGGCTAGCCTGATGTGCCTAATATGTTAACGAATGGTCCTTTATTTTTATCTTCTTGTCCTTTTTCTTCTTCTTTATGTTCACAGGTTATTAGCTCCAGTGGAAAGTTATGGATGTTCGTCCACTTCTGGACTTTAGTCTTGTTTTATAACTTGAGTCTTACGTGAACATGTTTTACAGATCTGGAAAATTTCTTAAAAGACGTGGTTCCTTTCTTCTCAAGCGGATGCACTCCGACTTCGAAGGAAGCAACATCCTTAGTTAATCAACGTTTAGATGGCAGTACATCCTTATCTCTGTCCCCCTCCCCCCTCCCTCCCTCCCTCCCCATGGAAGCCCACCTCCCCCTTACGAACCGACACGGGGACTTAACTTGCTGTAATGCTGTAATGAGTTGATTCAAGAACCGACATCACATCACTCCGGGCATTCCCATAAGCGCTCCGTCCCCATCTTCAGCAGCCAGCACATAGTTCCAATACGAGTGGTGCCAGTAGACATCAGATTATAGGTCGCTTGGTTTTCATCTGAACGTCGAGTATCCGCCAGATACCCCCCCCCCTCCCGGGTCACTCCTGGCTGCATCACTCTCACCAGACTGATAATCCATTTGCTCCTCCGAATTGTACACGTTCTACCACAAAGCCCTAAGCCACATCTGCCTTATCATCCATCAAAATTCCACAAAGTTGTGCAGAGTTGCTTTGATAAATAATTATGAAATACCTATACTGTCATAGTCCCTCGTTTTATTTATTTTGTTTTTGTTTTTCTAGGCGCGTCATTTTTCTGAAGACAGCATTAAAACGCAGCAATTATTCGATATGATCAACCGGACTTCCATAGACCTCCTCAGCCTCAACCTTCACGGTCAAGAGCTGGACCTGCTCAAGGCCATCGATTTCGTCAGGTATCACATCCGGGTCGTTACCATAGAGCTGCAGAGTGACGTCAGCAGTGAGACATACCAGGAGATCAAGGAGACTCTGGAGTCACAGGGCTACGGCGTGGCACATCATGTTGTGAATAGTTTCCAAGGGAAGAAAGATGTGATATTTGAGAAATTGTAGTTGTAAATACACTATTCAGGCGATAGTTGCAGTTTTTTCAGTTTGTGTGGTCAGTTTAACAGTTAAACACGTTTCGGTTGCCATCCACAGAATATCAGGCTATCCTTCGAATAACGTGCACAAAAGCACCCTAACAGAGCCTCAGTCACGTGTCAATTGTGCACTTCCGGTGACCTAATTTGCGGTTTTCCAGCTTCCGCATCTCCTGCAGCTTTGCTTGTAAGTCCTAGCCTTCTAGTTTAGCCCCAAACCACTCTCGACTGTGGCGGTAGTCGCCGAAAAACCGCAAATTAGGTCGCCGGAAGTGCGCAATTGACACGTGACTGAGGCCCTGTTATTGGCCGTCATCTTTTGTGCCCGTTATTCGGAGTATAGCCGAATCTCATCATCATTCTTATTATCACAGGGTGACCATAATATTTTAAGCCGAAAATGGGACATCCCAAACAAGACAGTTTAACCCCCCCCCCCCCTTTTTCCCTTTTTTTTCCTCCTCTGGGTGGAGGGGGGTGATTTTCTCTTTTGTCCTAGGTCACCGAGGTGGAAGGTTAAAACTATTTACTCAACAATTCTGTTAAAACCCGACTCACCAACAAATAAACGAAATGAAATGCCCTTTGACAGTAATGAAATAACATACTAAACTGATATTTATCATCAATACATTTCAGGCTTAAATGGTGTCTTTAACTACGCAATTTTAAAAGGTCTACAAATATAACTAGAAGTCCCCCGTGTGGGTTCCGAGGCTCCATTGTGGGGAAAACAAGAATAGACCCACTGCCTCCCCAAAAGCATGTCGTAAGAGTCGACTAATTGGGGAGCTTCCTTTGAAGTCGGAGTGCATCTGCCGGATGTATTTGTAATTACTAAAAAAAGTATGTATTTTTTAACCTTTCCATACTTGATCATGTAGGTTCAAAAAATAAACGGGTGTAGATCACGAGGCAGACCAAGAAGACGGTGGAGAGATAATATACAGACAGACCTGCAAACACTTGGAGTCATAAACTGGAAGGAGATGACTTAACACAGAGATGAATGAAGGCTGGTGGTATCAGCAACAGTTAACCTCAGAAGCTTGAAATACTGAAGAAGAAGAAGAAGAAGAAGAAGAAGAAGAAGAAGAAGAAGAAGAAGAAGAAGAAGAAGAAGAAGAAGAAGAAGAAGAAGAAGAAGAAGAAGAAGAAGGAGAAGAAGAAGAAGAAGAAGAAGAAGGAGAATGATGAGGAGGAGGGGGAGAAGAAGAAGAAGAAGAAGAATGATGAGGAGGAGGGGGAGAAGAAGAAGAAGAAGAAGAAAAACCATCAACTAGGATGCTATTTTTTTAGAAGTAGAACGGGCACTTGGAAACGTGCCAAATTCGGTAGACCTGAGCTGGAGAAACGATTTACTCATCTAGCTTAAAAAACAACAGACTTAAACTTCTTAACTTATAATACATATTAGCAATGTGACCAGCTCGTTCCGCACCAGTGATAACACTAACAGACCGGGAAGTCATTTCTGGTCTCGACTGAAGTTTCAGTCAGACCTGCACCGCGGGTTTCCGTTACAACCTGTCACCACAGACCAGGGCTGCCAATAAAAATTTTTTTTTTGTTTTTGGAAAAACCTAGCTAAGCTGAATAAAAACCGAAGCAATACATAGGCGAAGAACAACAACAACAAAAACCCAGGTTACATTTAGATAGATCCAGTTTCGTCCTTTCTGGGATGATTTTTTTTTTATTTGAAGCCCCACCCTGGCTTTTTGCCAGGGGCCGCAATATAGGCAGGCCATAAATATGGCCAATTGTCTGAACACGGTTTCTGGGACCTCTCCACCGCGATCCTTATCCACATGGTGGCACTTTGTGTCATCGGGTGTTTATCGCTTGTGTGATGTCCTGGTGGGGTAGAAAGTCAGTCAGTCAGTCAAAAAACCCAGATTGTTAAAAAGCACAACTTTTATAGTTACAAAACGAAACATTTATCCACTTTTATATAAGGATTTTTTTTTGGGGGGGGGGGGGGGGACCCCAGATTTCGAAATTTGAACCCAAGGCGTCAAATAAAAAACCTAGATCTGGGGGTGAAAACCTATCATTGGCAGCCGTGCTACAGACACCCGTTTGTAGATCCGGTGTGGGCCTCTCGGCGCGCCTATTGGTTGAGTGCTTCAGTGGGTCATTGAACACAGGTGTAATTTATAGGGTTAGGTTTCCGTGTGTGACACACACTGCCTGCCAGTAGGATCAAACATGCGAGAGCGTGTGTGGACTGTGGAAGATCCTACTGATAAGTCCAGACTGAATGTGGGTACGTACTTGTTGTTTTGTAAATATCGCTATTGTTGTCGCTGCTGTGGTTGTTGTTCTTGTAGCTTGGCTGCTGTTACCGGTGCTGATTGATGGTTGTTATAAGGGCCTGTGTTTTTGTTTTATTTTTCTAGACACACTAAAAAGGTGCCAGTAATACTATTACTAATATTGTCTATTAATGTAGCTCTGAAAAACTGATGCGTCAGAAAAGGGAAAAAAAAAGGAAATCATCGGGGGAAAAACAACACTTTGACTGTTAGATTTGTTCTTGTTGTTGTTGCTTCAGTAAGCTTCGTGCAGAGTGGCAAGCATCACTTTAGAGGTCCCGGGTAGTTAGCATTCTTTGGATATTCCACCCAGGTTATGCCGGTGTGTTGGGAAATAAGCAGGCAGACAGAATGGCTGGTTCTGCACCACTAGATGTTGTGACGGCCCTTTGGGAACGAGTGAACAGTGCCGAGGCGCAGATAGATAATTATGGTCTGAGGAGAATGGCGCTGCGAGAAGTTACCAGGGGATCTGGCCGACGCTCAACACTCAGGGGAAGGGCGAGACTGATATACAATCAGACAGGCACTAGTGCCATCGGAATTGGAACTCTTCACTTGCCGCTAAAGATGGGGACTGAGCACTTTTGGGAGTTCCTCATTCAATATTCAACATTGTGTTGCTAAAAATATTAAAGTTAGCGTTGTCGCTGTTCTGTACTTTTTGCTGTTGTTCTTCTTCTTAAAGTTATTTAAGTCCATGCCGTGTGACGTTGGTGGTCATGTCTATCCAAAACCTTGAGTCTCGTGTACTTTCAATCAACTCTGACACAGATGATCTTCCATAGTCCATGCCGTGTGACGTTGGTAGTCATGTCTACCCACAACCTTAAGTCTTGTGTACTTTCAATCAACTCATATGATCCTCCATGCCATGATGTCAAACTGTCCAGCATCTGTTCTCTCAGTCTCCCTCTGCCTCCCCTCCCCTTCAACTTTCCTACCTTCAAGATGTACTCCAGTTTTCTCCTTCTCAACACATGAATATTATTATTGATGTTTTAACTGTTGATGTTGTTGTTGTTTATTGTTGCTGGCCTTGTTTTTGTTGCTGTTGTCACGTGTGCTGTATTTGTTATAATTGCTGTTGCTGCTGTTTTGTTAGTTCTGTGTTACTACTAGTGTTCTAATTGTCGCTTTAATTGCTGTTGTCGCTGTTTCTTGTTATTGATGCTTTTGTGTTGTTATTGTGGTGTTGTTATTGACTTTGCTTTTATATTTGTTATTGTTGCTTCCCAAATGTGTGGGGGAGGGGGTGTATACTGGTGTAGTGGGAAATTAATAGGCGGACAGATTGGCTGACCCTGCACAACTTGGTGTTGATGCATGATAAGGTAGTCGTGGTTAGGGCCTTGTGAAACAACGTGTACAAGTCGGAGTAGCAAATGGATCACCATAGTCTGGTGAGAGTTATATAGCGGGGAGTGACAAGGGAATTTGGCCCAAGCTCCACGCTCAGAGAAAAGGCAAGACGGATGTATAATCAGAATGCTACTGACATCATTGATATTGGAACTCTGCGCTGGCTGGTGAAGATGGGGTCGCAGCGCATACAAGCATGCTCCGAATGATGTCATGTCGGTTCTTGGATCAACCCAACCCAGCTGAACACCGCTCAGAATGAGTCCAATATATCTTCTTCTTCTTCTTCTTCTTCGCGTTTACCAGCTGTAAACTCTGGCGGAAGGTTCTGGTTGCTCGTCCACTACTGAACTGCAGTTCTGCTCCATAATCTGAGTGTTGGGTGTGCATCAGTTTTACAGATCTCATTCTCTTGAATTTAGACTGTTGGTTCCTTGCCTCTCCGGCAGATGCACTCCGACTTCAAAGGAAGCTCCCCAATTAGTCGACTCTTACGACATGCTTTTGGGGAGGCAGTGGGTCTATTCTTGTTTTCCCCACAATGGGACCCCGGAACCCACACGGGTAGTCCAATATATCGTCTTCTCTGTCACATAAAGTCGGCGTCTGTGGCTTCGGCATTGCTAACACGCTTCGTAATGCCAGGGTGTCGGGTTCGATGCCAGGTGCGAACGATTTGCCTTGCGTTGACAGTGGTACCAAGAGCTGACCGTTCAGTAGCCGCCAGGGCAAACCAGTTAACGTAAGATTTGCCTTTAAAAAAACACAAAATATCCACAAAACGTTAAGGGTTGGTTCTGCAACGTCCTGTAAAGGATACGGAACTAATTTACTGTCATATTAAAGATTAGTTGCGCATGCTTTACAGGACGTTACAGAACCAACCCCATAAGCTCCTGGCTGTTGTGTTGTTTTTCTAGGCAAATTTACGACCAGTAGTTTGCCATTGCTCTCTGGACGGTCTGCTTTCTTGATACCACTGTCGAAACCAACGCAAGGCGCATGGCCCGCAGCTGGGATCGAACCTGGCATCCCGGCATTACGAAGCGTTCGTATCGACTTAGCCTCAGAGCCGACATCATATTAAACATGGGGAAACTATATTCAGACAGTTAGTTTCGTATCCTGTACCCGAAGTTGCTTAACCACGACTGTCTTCATTTGACGGATGTCTCATGGACACCGTCTTGACCTATCCAGCATCAGCGTTTTTTGGCTCTCTTACCTTTACTTGGCAATTTGCCGTGCTGCTGGTTCTTCTTTCTTCTTCTGGCTACATGGTCACGAG